TCTATGATTCTATGATTCTATGAAATGGTTAAAATGTTTAGAAAAACAGGAATAAGAGCCTACACTTCCAATCCCTAAGTTGAATTGATGCGCGCAGGATTTACAGGCTGCTGCTTTCCCTTGAGGTGCCCTGTGGGAAGATTGAAGTCTTGAAATCCCAAGCAGTCCCAGCGCTTTGGAGCTCTGGAGATGAAGTTTCCTGATCTAGCAGAAGGTGTCCCTGCCCATGGCAGGGGGGTTGGAACTGGATGATCTTGAAGGTCCCTTCCCACCCAAACCATTCTGTGATTCTAAGTTCCCAAAACTTCCAGTGCTGTGGCAAGGATTAAACAACCCTGGCCATCCCAAGGCCTCAGGGTCCAGTTCCACCATGTGGCATGTGGGTTTCCCCCGCGTTTCCAGGCTCCCATCTCCCCCCCAGACCTGCACACCAGAACTAAACATTGCGCAGACCCTGCTGCCCAGGGGCATCCTTGCTCCTTTGGGAGAATATCTGTGACCTGGGTTGAGGTGACCCATTCCTGCGGTCCATCCTGCCATACCAAAGGGAGCTCCAGCCTGTGAGGAGGCGAGCAGAGCAAACAAAGGAGAGCAAACTGAAAGCTGCTTTCCTGCCAGCAGTGCTCTCTCCGAGGGCCAGCACCAGCGAGGCCGGGCACAGGTGGCTTTTAGCAGCTCTGAATTCGCCATCTGACCATTTTGATTTAAATTCCTCTTTCCACTGCCTGCGTTTAAAGTTGGGTGCGTGGGCTTTTACAGCAGCAGTAATGAACCCGGAGTTCAAACAGCACATGGCGAGATCAAAACTCGCCAGAGCGGAATGTGTCCCGCAAACACAAAGCACGGCTTTTCATTCATTATTTTTTCCTTTACAGAGAGGTTTTACAAGCTGTTTATTTTCTGATACAGTGTTGGCAGACATGTGGTCAGAGGAGAATCAATATCAGCACAGTGGGATGTATTTTCTTAAACGGTTTATAGGGGGGTCTTTGCTTTTTCAAAGGGGGATAATTGAATGTAGTACACACTGTACTTTTGATTTGTTTAACATGAAGCGTGAAATGGGTACAGCTATGATTCTGTCAATCAGTTTAACGACCTGGCGATTCATTTGGAAGCCAGGCCTCCTCGCAGGGATCGGCTGGCTCCAGGGATGGGGAATTCGCTCAGCATCCTCCCCGCCGAAACCCCAGTTCCATCCCAGGTCATGCTGGGACCTTGCTGGCCCCACAAAACCACCCAGGATGGGGGTCCCAGGCGAGATTAGTGGATGCAGATGGTCTCACTGCAACTGCCTTTGGGTAGTCAACCAACACCGAGGTCAAGTTCACAGCAGCAAGGCAGGGAGCAGAGATGGGGTTGGGTGGCAGAAGGCGTCTGAGCTTTCAGGGAGGTGTCACAGAACAGGACCAAGTCTCAAAAGAAGGGATTGTCCCTGCTGCCCACACAGACCCAACAAGACTCCTCTTAATGAGGTGATGAGCGGGAAATTTAAGTGACCAGATCTCCCTCCCCTAAAGTGTTCCTGGAGACCTAGTCTGATTTTCACCAGCGTTATTCCATGTATGCACCCCAACTCCATCCCTGTTTCCTTCCCTCCATGCAACTCCCAGTCCACATCTGGTCATCGCGTTGCACTAACTTATCTAAGGAACAGCAGGAGCAAGAGCCAGCTACAGACGGAGGAATGAGAGCGCCAAAATCACATCCACTTTTTACTCCCCAACAGAGCACACAGCTCTCTCATTAGAGCATTTTCACCCTGAACCTCAAATCAAAGCTTTTCTTCCCATCTCTGCATCAATGGCACATCCCAACCCATGTTCCCCTACATGTCCTTCCTGCTTACCCTTCAGGCACTTGAAGGCATCTCCTTCCTTTAACCCCCTTTTAGCCCTTCTGTGAAGTTATTGTACAGCACGATGTCCATTATGCTATGTTGGAGACTAGAAGTGCATATCTAACCATTCCCATGGAAATGGCATCTCCATCTTTGGATAGATCTCCCTCCCCTGAGAGATTCAACAGGTTGAAACAGGTTCAACAACCCTATTGTTGTTGTTGAGCAGGCATCTTGGAAGTCCCACACAACCTGGAGAGCACTTTGACATCAGCTGCCTCTAGTCCAGAGGAGTCTTTCCTGGAAGGTGAGTCTCTCCAGACTCTTTATACAAAGCCACCTCTAATTCTGATCCCACAAATGCAGTATTCAAAATGTGGATTTTTTAAACCAGTTTCCCCACCTGTCCACAACTTTGTGTTTGAAGTAACACAATGGTGAGGCTGAGCCTTGCGTAGGTCCCTTTGTGCTGCAGTTCTGCAGCTCTTAAATCACACAGCGCGTTTCACTCCAGGGTTACTACGAGAAGGCAGAAAAACCTCTGTCCAGGGAAGCTCACCTTTTTTGCAATGTAACACATTTGCTCAGCAGGGAGATAGTCAAAGGGGAAGACGAATCTCCAGTTGAAGTTGCCCTCTCCTCCCATAGACCTGTAGTGCACATCTGTCTTCTGCTTGTTCTCCTCGTGGCCAACCAGCCAGCTGCAAAATGCAAACACAGTGAATGAAAAACCAGAAACACACCAAGGATGCTGGAGTTCACTCAATGCCACAGAGGCCACGAGCGGGGAATAAAACATCTCTCATCCCTGCAGATGCCTTGGTCTGCTATCTGTAGGGGTAACCTGGAGACCATAGGAGACTTGAGAGGGAATGCAACGGTCCCTGCAGTGCTGGGAGATGAACCACTGCTGGTGGTAGTAGCCTGAGAAGTTATGCAATCTCTTCTCCTCCCTTCTCTGAGTGTTACGGATGTTTTAAAGACTCTACACTGTCTTAAGCCTTGATTCAATGTTGTCACCATCCATAAGAACACATCAGCTTCTAAACTGCCTTGGCAAGAGCTCCTTTCCCCTTTGCAGCCACCCCAACAAACTGACCTTGTAGTCAGCCCCTAAAGCCAGTCCTGTTGATGAGACAACTATGCTAAAGGACCAAAGGGCCATTATTTTCCCTCTATACTCTGTCGATTTTTCAAAGATTATTATTTGACAGTCCTAAACAGCCAAGAAGTGCTTCCTCACGAAAATCCTAGAGCGGCCAGACCCTGATGTGGCTGGGGTGGTCCCCAGCTGCTCCTCTTAGAGACAGGTCCTTGCAGTACAGTTCCCTTCCCGATCTAAAAGAGTTCGCTGTGGTCACCCCGCAACCAGGCCAGGGGCATACTGAAAACTTTCCATAACAACTACTTTTTTCCAGCTGTGAGTTT